CGTAGCCGCCCTCACCAAAGCCCGCAGGCTTGGCCTCACCACTGACTGCTCGCAGCCCAGGGACGGCGATGCATGAGGGCAGCCGTGATGTGGTCTGCGCGTGCTCAGTCTGCCACGGCCACATCTAAATCAGCAGCTGACGTTGAGAAAAGCCGGCCCAGCCTGGCAGCAGACAGCAGGGACGGAGCTGTGGACTCTCCCACCCCGGCCTGGCCTGCGGAAGCCTTTCGGGAACGCCGTGGGGCCAGAATGCAGAAGCGGGTCAGGTGTAGATGGCGACGGTGTTGCACGTGGCACCTGTTGATGCCAAGCCTCAGAGACTGGAAGTCAGAGACGCCAGAGACAGGAATGTGGGGTCCACAGAGAGACTGGGAGAGCGGGCTCCACAGAGCTGGGTGGAGTGGACTGTCAGCTGTGATGGGGTAAGGAGGGTCCAGTGAATCTTAGGGGCTTCTCAGAGCAAAGGAGTGGGTAAGAGTCCCAGCACTCTTTCTCTCTCTGGGCAGCCTGGGGCCAAGTTACCTGGCCCTTCTGTGCCCTGCTTTTGTTATCTGTCAAATGAGACTTTTGCATTGGCTGTTGCTTCCAACAAAGTCCCCCGTCCTGACTCCCAGTTCAGTGCCACCTCCCCAAGGGGGCCTTTCCTGACCGTCACTCCCTGCACCCTGCAGCTGGTGTCCACGCTTTCTCCAGGGCACTGCAGCATTGGCTTTCTTATAGCCGGGGAACTGACAGGACTTTTTGAGGGCTTAGAGGCATTAACGCATTTAATCTTCACAGCAGCTCTGCTGTGTGCACTGTTGCTGTCTGCATTATACAGATGGGGAGGTGCAGAGAGGTTAAGTAACTTGCCCTAGGTCACCCAGCTAGTAAGTGGAGCTGGGATTTGAGCCCAGGCTTCTGGCTCCCAAGGCATGCCCTGGACCCCTGTGCTCTGAGTGTCTCTGTATCCTGGGAGTTTATATCCCTCCTTTATCACACTCCAACTAGGATGCATGTTTTTCAAGGATGGGGACTTTGATTGGACCACGAGTGTGCCAGCACAGCACCTGGCACAGAGTAGGCCCTCAGTAAATCTTTGTGGAATGAATGAAGTGACTCAAGGGGTAAGGAGCCTGGGATTTGGCCTGCAGGGGTTGAGAGGCTGGAAGGTTTTAAAGCAGAATCCCAGCGATGCAGGCTAAGGCAGCCCTTCCGTGAGTGCGTCTGCCCCCGAGCCTGGACATGAAGCACGTTCTGCTTGTCCTTTGCTGGGCCTGTTCTGTCTGGGCCAGCCCCTTGCTAGGCCCTGAGGGTCCAGGGTCCGATGAGCCCCAGGCCGTGCCCTCCTCAGTCCTTAGAGCCTGGAGTTCCAGCAGACATGTTGGACACCCTTGTAGGAAGAGAACACAGAGCGCCACCACTGTGTCTGCCTGGGGGTGGAACATGATGCCCCGTGACCCAGTTTCCTCAGCCGAGAACCCTTCTCTGCCCTTCTGGGGGGGCTCTGTCATGCTAACAGACCACGAGTTAGTGTCACTGTCACAGCCTCGTTCTTCATAGGTTGACCGGGGGCTCCGCTGGCTCTCAGGGATGAGACGGCAGAGGCATCTTTTCGATGTGGGCTTCTCGGTTCTCCATGGCAAGAGAAGGCACCGTAGGGGATCTCACGGCTCCCGTGGAAAGTGCCACGCATCCCTTCTGCTCAGAGTGTGTTGGCCAAAGCACATTGCATGGCCCCCCCACTGCCACGGGGGTGGGGACAGCACTCATGGCTCAGGCGCCTGCACCCCTCTGCCCAGCAGGTGGCTGTGTGTGGCCCACAGCAGGACACGCGTGGGGCTCTGCAGGAGGGTGGGCGGGTCTGGGGGCAGAACACACGTGGGGCTCTGCAGGGGAGCGGGTGGGTCTGGGGCTGCAGCCTGGATGGGCCCCGAGAGCACACTGGGGCAAGAAGGGCCTCTCTGCGCTGCCGAGAGTGGGCGGGGGTCCCAATGGCAGGGGACTCACAGCAGTAGATGTCCAACGCACTGGCTGCTTGCTGTCCAGGAGGTCGCTCCCCTGCCCGAAGCCATTCAGAGGCTCCCTTCGCCAGCCACATCCATCCCAACCCTGGAACCCCAGAGCCTGGCCTCCCCACCTCACCCACCCCACTCCCCACCTATACCTCCTGCCGCCACACCTTTCCTCTCAATTGCTCAGCAAGTTCCTGGTCGGTGGTCAAGGGCCCGTCCGTTCAGATTCCTCTCTCCTGCGATATCACTGTGAAAGCTGCCAGGTGGAATCGATCCCTCCCACATTCCGTTCAGGGTAAAAGCTGAGCCACCAGGTCACACACTGATCCACCAGCAAATATTGTCATGTCTACCCTCAAGCTGTGTCCTAAAGCGGCTGCATCTCCAACCTCCTGCACCACTGCCTGGATGCTGCAGCAGTCTCCTAGCTGGGCTCCCAGCCTGGGCCTGGCCTTGCTGCCCATAGAGCAGCCAGAGGGAGCTTCTCAAACATGGACGTCAGGTCCGACACTGCCCTATTCAGAACACGCCGGGGCTTCTCATCCCACTCGGGAAAACCAGACTTCCCTATGGCCTGCACAGCGATGTGTGGTCCAGCCTATCTCACTGCCCTCCTCTCCCCCTCCCCCATGGGTCTCTACTCTCAGCCACCCTGGAGCAGCTTCACGGGCCCTTGATCCTGCAAAACCCATTCCTGCCCCAGGGCCTTTGCATCTGCTGTTGCCTCCACCCAGAAAACTCCTTAATCGCTCTGGTCACTGTCCAGTGTCACCTGCTCAGAGAACGCCTCTCTGCTTGCCCTATGCCTTCTAGCCTCACTGAGTCCCTTTGCCCTTCAGACTGTGGATTGCAACCTGCCGTTGTGCTGGGTGTTCATAGCCAGCCCCGCTCGCTGCTGTCTTCCAGAGCGGTGCCTGACACAGAATAGAACGGCACTTAATCTGTGAAGAATCCACATTCCCACAGTCCCTTGCGCAGCCTCTCCTTCCCGCAGCACGGTTCCTTCTCCCACTGCGCCCTGAGCTCCTCAAGGCTGGTGGAGCCTGTATCCTGGAAGTCCATGATGCTGTGTGATGTTGGCGTGTAAACACAGGAGGGAGCAGATGGGGACAGAGAAGGAAGAGCAGCCACCCCCTGGGGAAGCAGAAGGAAGTAGGACCTGGCTGGGCCTGGACCAGAGCATTATATCAGGGCCTCAGGGGGCCAGGCAGGTGGGTGGGTGACAGAGGGCGCCCAAGTCGGGGATGCCCAGTCCGGCTCTCTAGTCATTGCCACACAGGAGCACAGGCCCAGGAGTGCCAGACGGTCTGACTTTTCAGGAGAAGTTGGGACTCCGGATTCTATATGAGCTCTCTCAATTTCTAAATTTTGGCAAGTTTTTAGAATTCTTTTCATTAACATTGTGTGGGCTAAAGGAAACACGTCTGTGGGCTAGCTGTGGTGACCCCTTGCCTAGAAGTTGAGGGAGGGGGAGGCGGGCATGGGCTGGGGTCCTGTGGGGGCCAGCATGGAGCAGGGCGGTGAGGAAGCGTGACCTGCCCTGGCCGCAGCCTCAGCGGCCAAGTGACTGGAGAGGCCTGGGCATGGGGTGGTTCTTGGTGGGAGACCCTGGAGTCCTGGGGAGGAACCGGGTATATGGGGGAGCAGGGCCACTCTGTCACCACTTCTGTGCCAGGACCCAGCTGTCCAGCAGCTGCTCCCTGCCAGGCTCCTGAGGGCAAGGTCAGGGTGTGATCATCTGGGGTAAAAAATAGCAGGTCTCCTTGCAGCAGGAGCTTTGCTTGCTTGCACATGGAAATAACGTATCTGCAGGACACTGCGGTTGGCCGGGAGCTGCATGGTTTCTCGGGGAAGGTGGACACTGGTCCTCACCTCAATGCCCCCAGGGGACAGCGGAATACTGACCTCCACCTGCTGGGGAAAGGGGTACGGCCTGGCCCTCAGATAGTGGGTGACCCTGCTGGCTCCACCCCTGCATGGGTGCCAGGTACCTCCATGGCTCCACAGCTCCTCGGGCCCCTCAGAGGCTCTGGGGGTGTTTAAGGAGGACCTGCTCTCTGAGGGTCACACGTGCTGCCACACACCACCCTGTCTCCTTTGACCACTGCATCCGCTGTGAGGTCAGCCACGCACGTGTCATACCACGCGTCGGGCAAGAGGACAGAGGCCCAAAGGGAGGAAGGAGTCTGCCTCGGGTCACTGCCAAGTCCCTGAGAGGGGCCTTCCTTCTCCACAGCCGCCTGGGCCCTGCCTGGCCCCACGGCTCCCCATGCAGGTGCAGGGCCAGCCCAGCCCCTCCCCGAAGCCCGCCTTGACTGCCCAGACAGGGCCCGTGCCCCGCCTCCATCTCCTCTCCTGTAAACTGGGGCTGATCCTAAGAGCCTTTCATGGTGCCAACTGCGCACATCATGCCAGGCACCTGACTGTGTTAACTCAGTGAGTCCTTACAACAAGGATGGTGAGGCCCTTGACAAGGTTTACAGCTTTTGGGCTCCTAACAGCACAGTAACAGGGCTCTGACTCCAGGAGCATGTGAGGAGTAAGCTGGTGTCTGTAGGTGCTTAGACAGCGATGGCAGAGTCAGGGCTCAGCAGTTGGTAGAGACTGGCGTATTCTCAGTGGGCAGGCCAGCGTGTGCGGGCAGTGGGTTCCAGTCTGCCTAGAAGTACAGCATGGGCCGGGTCTTCCACACAGAGGGGAGCGTGGGTCCGGGCAGGGGACCCGTTCTGTATTTGGGTGGGCGTCTGGGGCAGTGCGAGGCGGTGGGGGAGGGTCCCTGTCCCAGCACCCACAGCTGTGCTCCTGCGGCTGGCCCAGTCCCAGCCTGTTCTTGGTGCAGGGTCTGGGCTGTTCTGGGTTCCCCATGTTGCAGGCTCAGGGCAGGTGCCTGGGGCCCGGGGTCTCCCAGCCCTGGTTGGGGCACCTCGAGTGCCCGAGGAGGAGGCGGGCGAGCCGGGAGTGGCCGAGGCAGCCAGGGCTGAGTGTACCTCTTGTCTCGCCCGCTAGGAAGCCTGAGAAGGGCGTCCAGTACCTCATTGAGCGTGGCTTCGTACCCGACACGCCTGTGGGGGTGGCCCACTTCCTGCTGCAGCGCAAGGGCCTCAGCCGGCAGATGATCGGCGAGTTCCTGGGCAACCGGCAGAAGCAGTTCAACCGTGACGTGCTGGAGTGAGTGCTGGGCTGGGTGGGCGGGGCCGTGTGCTGAGTCGTCCCCTGGTCTCTTTCTCTCTCCTAGACCCACACACACACCATTTTGCACATCACACCCTGCTGGGTATGTACGTGGGCACCTGCCCTCGGGCACCACATCTCCCTTGCTGCCCTTGACCGCCCCCCTGCTCGCCCCTCAGCACCTCCACCCTCACACTCCCTCAGGGTGAGGGGGAGGGGAGTCAGGCCCAGAGTGATCCCAGTGCCTCCTGCCTCTTCTGACTGAGAGACTCGAGGGTGAGAGTCCAAACCCAGTGTCCCGACCCCAGACCCTAACAGCCCAGAGAGCTGTCGGCCATAGCATTCTTAGCTACTTGGAACCCTGCAGAAAAATGGATTCCCGGTTCCCTGGGGACTGCTGACAGTTTTGAGAAGTCCCACCCGGGATGCACCCTAAACCTCTCCGTTCCTCCTTGAGACTGTCCTGAGTAGAAAAGTACCCCGCGTTTAGACCCACGTGTTTACTAAGCAGGCGCTATGTACAGGCCATGTGTCCTCATCTTACGCACAGGGGTGAGAGTCAGGGATCGCTAACCTCCTTTCAGAGATGAGGAGCCAAAGCCAGTGGAATAGGATGGCTCGGCATGAGGGTCCTGCTCACCCTTTGTCGGGACCTGGAGGAACAGCCCCAGGCCTGTTGAGGATTTTTCTGATCCAGGCAGCTACACGCTGAGATGGGCGACGCCAGGCCGGCAGGCCAGGAACAGAAATCACAGCAGAGTAAAGAGGTAGCCATCAGTGACAAGGGCAGTGACTTCCATCTGTGCAGGCCCTGCCTCATCAGGTGAAGGAGCACGTGAAGGGGGCAGGCAGCAGGCCCCCAGGGTCAGGCCCGCTTTGCAGTGATGAGGGGCCTGGCCATGTGCACCTGCTGCCTCGGGTGCTTCCCCGGGAGGAGGCGGGCGGATGCTGGGGCCTCTTTGTTTCACAGGTGAGGAAACCCAGGCTCGGGGAGGGACTGGTCTGGGTGCCCCCCATACACACAAGCCTCAGGTACGCACATATGTACTCATTCAGTCACATACACACCCACGTGTACACACATTTACGCCTGCATGTGTTCGTGCAGTGACTCAGGGCCTCTGGTGGTGGCTGGTGAGTAGCTGGCACCAGCAGAATGGCATCTGTGCCCTTTTTTGGCCAGGGACGCCCACCTGGGCTGCTTTCTGCGTGCTCAGCGTTTCTCTTCCTGCCTCATTGGGAAAAGCCTGCTGCATTGTTAGTGCCCCCCTCCCCCTTTTAAACAGGTGTAAGGAGACGGTTCAGGGGAGACAGATTAGGTCCTAGGGAGTCAGGCCCAAGACAGTCTTGGTCCAGCCATACAACCCCTGCAGCCATTCTTGCGCTCCCTCTGCGGCCCCCTCCAAGCTGGCTCCTGGTCCGTAGGAAATCCGTGCATTGTTCTCAGATCAGAAAATAGCAGCAGCCTCAGGAAGTAGCGAGACTCCTCCTGACCCTCCCCATCAGGCATCCTACTCGGATGCTGGTCAGCACATCGTCAGTGTGGCCCCTGTCCCCTAGCTGCTCTGCAGCAACCTCAAAAAGCTGCTGCCCTAGGAGGCCCTGAGTATTCAGGAAAGGTTGGGGCCACCATAGCTTACGTCCAGGCCCATCGCCCACAGTGGAGGAAAGGCCCTGGGAGTGGGGATTAGGCCCCCCATGGCCAAGGCCTCTGCTGCCCCACCAGGACTGGCTGTGGCTTCATTACTCACAGATACACCAGACACCAGAGCCTGCTGCGTGGGTCCGTGGTGCAGACCCTGCCTTCTCTGTTCAGGGGTTCTGATCAGAGGATGGAGCAGGCTGTGCTGGGGGGTGGGACTGTGATAAGGGTGGAACCAACCTGCTGTCTCTCCAAGCTCTACACTCTACCCTCCGCTTGCCTCATCCGAGGCACAGCCCCTCCGAGATGCCCGTCGACCCTGGCAAAACCCAGCCACCTCTCCCCGTGTCCTTGCTGTGAAAGGGGACAAGCTAAGCGCACAGCCACCGTGTGCAAGGTAGTGCCCCGGGCCTCCACGTCCTCCTCGTGAGGGTGGAGCGTGCACCTCACTGCCCTCACCCGCGGGCCCTCCCTGCACTTGACCCGCTTCGTGCTCCGCGCTCGGCGTGGCAGAGGACGCTGACGTGGCCTTTGTCTCTCGTTTCAGCTGCGTGGTGGACGAGATGGACTTCTCTGCTATGGAGCTGGATGAAGCCCTCAGGAAGTTCCAGGCGCACATCCGGGTCCAGGGGGAGGCTCAGAAGGTGGAGCGGCTCATCGAGGCGTTCAGGTCGGGGCCTGGCACGGCGAGGTGGAATCGGGGAGAGGAAGGTTCCCAGCTCAAAGGCCCATGGCTCAAGGGCCGAAGCTCCCTTCCTCCTCTTCCCTAAGTAGGATCAGGTGGCCATGAACTTGCCTGGGGACGAGGCAGCAGCCTTCCCTAGGTGCCAGGTTCTGTGCTGGTTAGTGCTAGAGCCAGGGTTTTGAGCACTCTTTGTCTTCCTCCAAGTCCTCGTGGGCCATCATTTGTTTGTGAATCTGTCTGTGCCATCGTTTATCTGCTCATTCACAAGGGGCAGCTGCGCTCTCACAGTGCCTCAGATGACCTGGTTCTGACACTCACTCCACTTAGCAGCTGTGTGACCTTGCACTGGTAACTTAACTTCTCTGTGCCTTACATCCTCCTTAGAGTGTAGATAACAAGAACACCTACCCTAGAGAGGGTGGGAGGATTGAACCGCTTAGGACGTGTAGGCACACTTAGCCCAGTCCCGGCACAACAGAGAGCCCGCAGTCAAGTCGGCTGTCGCTGCACAGTCTCTCATCTGGGACTGTGTGCACACTGGCTGTGTAGGAGCCTCTGTGCTGGGTGCTGAAAACACAAGTCAGCTGCTGGCCCAGCTCTCTGGGCTTAGCACCAGTGGCGGGGCCACGGAGGAGCAAGGACGCAGAAGGAGAAACCCCAGGCCCTGGAAGGGGAGCAGGAGGGCTCCCTGGAGGGGGCGGCACTCAACAGGGAAGACAGAATTGAAGCCCACGTCATCTAAGCTCTGATGGCTGTGCCTGCTGGAAGTAGGCCTCAGTCACAGTGCCCCACCTGGTTCCTCTTCTCCATCCCTGCCTCTCTCACCCACCCTCCACAAGGTCACCAGTGGAGGGGGCCTTGTCAAGGTGGGAGTGGGGGAACTATTCGAGGCAGTTAGGACAGTAAACGGATGACTTAGTGAGACAGAGTGTGTTAGCAAGGCTGTTGGTTCAGCTGCCCTGACAAAGCTGTCCTGGCAGCTGCGAGTGAAACAAGATGGAAGGTGCATCTCTCTCTGAGCTGGTGTGAGGAGGCCTGGGCTCCTGTCTTCTCAGGGTCCCAGGTGGCAGGTCCAACGCCCACTGTCACATCCCTGTCCCAGGCAGGGGGAGAGTGTGGAGGGCACACCATTACCTTCAAGGTACCACGTCCTGTCTGCTCACATCCCACTGGCCAGCACTTAGCCACGTGGAGCACCCAGCTCTGGGGAGACTGGGGAATGGGGGCCTCACCCCCTGGGCAGCCGTTGCCAGCTCAGTTACAGGTGGATGGGATATAACTCAGCTGAGAAGGAGCAAGTAGGTAGTCAGAGCCAACTCTCTGCTGGACAAGTGTTATCCCCATTTACCAGATGCAGAAACTGAGGCTCAGAGGGCCCTGACCAGCCTCGCTGATTAGTGCTGGCTGAGCTGTGGCGGCTGCTCATGAGTGAGGGGCAGACGCACTCTCTGCCCCGAATGGAGCGGCCCTGACCCTCCTCCTCCCTCTCCCCGGCCCCCAGTCAGCGGTACTGCATCTGCAACCCTGGGGTGGTGCGGCAGTTCCGGAACCCAGACACCATCTTCATCCTGGCCTTCGCCATCATCCTGCTCAACACGGACATGTACAGCCCTAACGTCAAGCCAGAGCGCAAGATGAAGCTGGAGGACTTCGTCAAGAACCTCCGAGGTGAGCTTCCGGCCACTCGGACGCAGAGCCACCCTCTGGGCACACGCCCCGCCAGGTGCGGGGCCTCAGGCTGGATGCAGGGAGCTGGGCTCCAGCGCACCTGGCCCCGTCACAGCAGGGCCTCGGAGCGCTGGGTCGCCAACGAGAGAACAGGGTACGAATTACTGTCAAGAGTGCTGTGTGCCGTCTCGGGTGTGCACGGTAGGAGCAGACTGGGCGACTCTCGCCTGGGCCGTGGGGCATGGCGGGGAACCGCAGTCGTGGAGGAGGTGATGCTTTGGCTTGTCCCTAAGGGGCGCACGGGGGTTTGACAGGTCAGAGTGGGGGCGTTATTCACGATTAGACAGGGGCAGAGGCCCGAGAAAGCAGCTCTGCAGGGTGCGGGAGGAGCCCCGCGGGAGGACGTGAGGGAGAACGGCCTGCAGGCCCCAGGCCGCCGGGCAGAGGGGCCGGCACCCCCGCCCGTGCACAGCTGCCTCCCTCCTCTACACTCCATGTTCCTCTTGACACTGACTTGCCTTTTTGTTTTTGTGTTTTGCTGAAGTCTGTCTGTTTTAAAAAAGAACCGTGTGTCGTCATTGTAAATGGGAAACCAGTAGTGTTTTCCACGCGGGCGCTCGTTCTGAAAATGAATACAGGGAAAGAGAGCACGGCTGTTGAATTCCGGCCGAGCCGTCTGGGTGGGCCCCGCAGCTATGCTCTCTTCCTTGACAGGTGGGCCTGTACTAGACAGGTGCTGGTGAGGCGGGAACAAGAGGGGCCTCCTCCTGGTGTCATCAGGCAGGGAAGGAATTGAAAAGGGAGCAGTCATCTTCCTGGCGGCTCTGTTAGCTGGCGGCATGTCCCTCGTGTACCTGGCACCCCTGGGAGGAAGAGAGGGAGGGACTGTGGGAAACACCAGCTGCAGCAGGCTGAGGTCCCCTAAGAAATGGTATCACATTTTTAAAAAAGGAAAAGCTGGTCTGAATCCAGTCTAACTTTGTGAGCTTGTTGAGCTGTTTAATCTGCTCCTCTTGATTATTTCTGTAAAAGTGCTGGCTGTCACCCGCTCTCCTGGGACAGGATAATTCTCCCTGCAGGATGTCCAGATCCTCCTGGGGGTTGGAACCATCCTAGCGCGCCCCCTGGTGGTGGGCATCATCATAACAGGGCTGCTAACGGAATCCCCAAATGTTTCCCCAGAGAGAAGCCACCAGGAGATGGCAGGACCATCCCCTTCCCCTGAGCTTGTCTCCAAGACCTGAGCGGGCACAGAGGCCATCTGGGAAGCCAAGCGGCTGGGGCGTGGTTCACAGCACTCACTGTGTACGGCCCTCCGCCAGGTCTGAGGGGTGTTGCAGGCCCCAAGGAAGGTCAGGTCTTAGTTATAGTTCCTAGGAAACCAAGGAGTCCAGGAACTTCATTAATGGCAAATCGTATGGCTGGGAGAGCAAGCGAGGGCAGTCGGAAGACACTTTTTTTTTTTTAATAACTTATTTTGCCTCCATTTTTGTGTGTGTGTGTGTGAGGAAGATTAGCCCTGAGCTAACATCCGTTGCCAATCCTCCTCTTTTTGCTGAGGAAGACTGGCCCTGGGCTAACATCTCTGCCCATCTTCCTCCACTATATGGGATGCTGCCACAGCACGGCTTGATAAGCGGTGCATCGGTCTGCGCCTGGGATCCGAACCTGCGAAGCCTGGGCTGCCGAAGCAGAGTGTGAACTTAACCTCTACGCCACCGGGCCAGCCCCCAGCGGACACTTTGATGTGCAGGGGTCGTACACTGCTCTGCCTCCTCACCGTCAGCCCCGGGCCTGTCCGGCTGTGAGCCTCTGTCCTCACTGGACTGAGCCTGTTTCTGCCTTCACCAAGTCCTGTGGGCCCAGGAGCAGGCTGGCACTCCAGCACTGCCAGGAAAGCTGGCCATGCGCTGTATGCTGTTGGTGACCATGGGGGAGTTTAAGGATCTCGATGATTTTTTTTCTGCCTGTGGCACCCTGCCCCTGTAATCGGGGACTCCCTTGTGTGAGAAATGCCAGGAGCCAGAAATGATTAGCCCAGAGGGCAGAAGGCTTGGGGAAGGACTGCTGAGTCAGACATTTGCCAGTCAGCCACCCTGATGTCAGTGGCTTGGTGGTTTGTATCCACTTTTGCACCCTGCTCTCCCATCAGTCTAGGGGACAGGGTGGCATCATCATCCCACTTCCCAGGGCACAGACTGAGCACTCCGATCCCAGGGGAGTGAGCTGCTGCTTCTGTCTCCCAAGCCTGGGCTGTTCCCACCAGATCATCTCTTTTTAAGCCGGGGACTTGGGAGTATTCTGCCCCATCTTCCTTGTGCTTCAAGAAGGAGTGACCAAGGTTCAGTGAGGAGAGGAACTTGCCCGAGGTCACACCGCGAGTGAGTGACAGACGAGGTGGGAGGCTGGTCTCCTGAAGCCAGGCTGGCACTTGGTGCTGAGCACTTGTCCAGCGTGCTCTTTGTAGAGGAAGCCTTCCCTGCGCGTGCTGGACACACGTTTGCTCTGGAGTCTCTCACTGCAGTTTGCGCTGTGGTCCAGCAGCAGGAGAGCCTCTGGGGGTTCAAGGATAGGCAGGGGAGGAATAGCTCAGCATGGAAGCCAGACAAGCAGGATTTTACTTTTATTGATAATTGTTTTTAAATTTTTTAGATTTATTTTTTGAACAAGTATTATCTTCAAATAGTGTAAAAACTTGTAAGAAATATGACCCAGCAATCATACTCCTTGGTATTTACCCAAATGAGTTGAAAACTTTAGTCCATGCAGAGACCCACACATGGATGCTTATAGCAGCTTTATTCATAATCGCCAAAACTTGGAAGCAACCGAGATGCCCGTCAGTAGGTGAATGGATAAATAAGGTGTGGTACAGCCAGGCAATGGAATATTACCACTAAACAGAAATGAGCTATCAAGCCATGAAAAGGCATGAGAAACCTGAAATGCATGTTACTAAGTGAAAGAAGCCAATCCGAAAAGGCTATAAACTGTATGATTCCAATTGTATGACATTCTGGAAAAGGCAAAACTATGGGGACAATGAGAAGTTCAGTGGTTCCCAGGGGTGAGTGAGGGTGAAGGGAGAGATGAATAGGCAGAGCACAGAGGATTTTTAGGGCAGTGAAAATAGTCTGTATAATATTATAGTAGTGGATCCATGTCATTATACGTTTGTCCAAACCCATAGAATGTACAACACCAAGAGTGAACCCTCCTGTAAACTGTGGACTTTAGGTGATTATGATGTGTCAGCATAGGTTCACCAGTTGTAACAATCGTACCACTCCAATGGGGAATGTTAACAGTCAGAGAGGCTGTTAGGGAGCAGGGGGTATATGGGAAATCTCTATGCTTTCCCCTCAATTTTGCTGTGAACTTAATAGACCAAAGACCAAAAAAATAGTCTATTTAAAAAAAAAAACAAACCCAGAAAATAAAAGGTGGTAGCAGAGCCCCTCCCACCATCTGCCCGGGCCACACCTTCTCCCCTGGTCGTGGTCAGCGTTCAGTCCTGCTGTACTGCCCAGAGTGCCTCTCCTGAGCAGGTATGAACGTGCATGAATGGTTTACCCTCTTCTGTTTTTGCACCTTGCTTTTTTATTTAATCTAGGAGAAAGTTTCCATGTCGGTTCACTGTGGCCTTCCTCGTTGTCCCTGGCAGGTGCACAGTATTCCGTGGTACTGATGGGCAATGGGTGAATGGGTTAGTTCCAGTTTTCTGCTATCTGTGGATAAAGATATAAGATGCTGCAATGAATAACCTTGGGATATGTCCCATGGGATAAATTCCCCAAATGCAGTCAATGGACCGGAGAGTGTTTGAATGTATAATTATGACAGACAGTGCCAAATTGCCCTCCAGAGGGGTTGATCCGTTTCACATCCCACCAGCGGTCTACAGGAGGGTGCCTTTCCCTCAGCCTTGCCAACAGAGCATATTACCAAACCTCTGGACTTTTGCCAGTCTGTGGTCTTCTGGTGGATGTGGGTTTGCACTCCCCTCCTGAGTAGGGCTGAGTTTTTCTCACAGCAGTTTTCCAGGGTGATGTAGCAGAAACGGGACATGCTTGCTGTCAGAGGAACCCGAGCTCGAGTCCAGGCCCCCAGCTTCTGCCCACGTGATGTGGGACAACGGCTGGCGACACCGTGCAGATGCTCTGAGCTCTCCCTTGGTGGGCTGTGCCACAAGCTGCTCTCCCCTCCTCATACCAGCCCTGTGAAGTCACCTGTGCTCTTGGTGGCCCGTTTCCCGGAGAACTCCCAGCTCAGAGAGACTGAGTCACGCGGTCAGTAAGAGGCAAAGCGAGGACTTGGGCCCAGGCCTGTCAGAGCCTGAACTCACAAACCCCAGCTACACAGCCTCCCCCCACCGCAGCCCCTTCCCTGGGCCTCAGCTTTCCCATTTGTGGAATGGGGTTGGTTATTCCCGCCCCACAGGGCTGTGGTCAGGATCGAGAAAGGTACTGTTTATAAAGCCCTCTGAGCATGGCTAGAAGGTCACACAGGTGGCTCTATGCTAGTCCAGGAGGCTGTGCTGGCCTTGTCCCTGGAAGGACTCTGGGGAAATTCTTAATTGACTGAAAGTGTTCAGTAGCTGTGGGTCTGGAAAGTCTTTGGCTCTGTTGGGGACTAGTGAAAGGGATCACTATTCTGATTTGGTTTAGAAACTGATAAATCAGGGGGTGAGCCTGGGGCCTGAGGCTGAATGGAGCCACGGCCACCCCGGCCGGACCTGAGGCCTGGCTGCTGTCCCCTGCCCAGGTGTGGACGACGGCGAGGACATTCCCCGGGAGATGCTGATTGGGATCTATGAGCGGATCCGAAAGCGGGAGCTGAAGACCAATGAGGACCACGTGTCCCAGGTGCAGAAGGTGGAAAAGCTCATTGTGGGGAAGAAGCCGGTATGTGGTGGCCCGGAGCCGCTGGGGGAGGTCCGAGGTGCTCGCCCCACCTACCCACCCTCTCCATGTCACCCCAGGCCTGCCCTACTGGCTTTGGCTTCAGCCAGTGGCCCTGGCACCATTTGGAACCTGGCCCCTTCTGGGCAGCGTTGGTAATTGTTTCAGGTTTTGGGTTTTTTTAAGTGGCTCCTAATATTGGGGAATAACAGCTGTTTGCTCTGGGTTATATTTGAGAGAACCTGAGGCTCTTAATAAACCAAGAGCCAGGGTTGTGCTGTGGTTCCTTGGTGACCTGCGAATGCCCTCGAAGCCTCCCGGAGCCTGCCCACGGGAGGGCCCCCCGGCCCGCTCTGTGTGGCGTGGCTGGAGGGAGCTGAGGGAGGTGCCAGGGGAGGGGTGCTTGCCTCTTTGGACGTCATCCCTTTAGCTCCCTCAGGGCCCAGGTGCATCTTTGGAACATTAATACCTTTTTTTGTTTGTTTCCTGTTTCCCACATAGATTGGATCCCTGCATCACGGGCTTGGCTGCGTGAGTACCCCTCTGCTTTCACGTCCCAGCTGAGATCCCACCCCAGGGGCCCAGCATGTCCTTCATTCGCTCTGCTGCGTCTCCCAGCTCCCAGATCCGTAGCTCTGGCTGCATGAGTTAATATCCGGAGCGATAAGAAATGTGATTTTCATAATTATCGCAGCCTTGAATCTCTGCAGGCCCAGAGACCACAGCTACACGGGGAGGGCTGTGCTATCAGGCTGAAGGCAGATAGATGGAGCCCGGGACGCTACGCCCGAACAGATGATCCTAGTGTGGCAGTGAGGGGCCTTCTCCTGCCCATCCCAGACCCCGCGAGCTTGCTTGTGTGTGTCAGGACCTCCTCCACTGCCACCGCCTTGAGGAAGTTTGCCTGCACACCCCTGGAGCACACGTACACACGGCTAGCCTGGCAGTCATGTGGCATGTCCCTCGTGTGTCTGTCTTTACCCCTCACTGGGCAGCCCTGCCACTGCGAAAGTCAGCTTCACAAACGGCTCTGCCCACCCTCCCCTTCCCAGCTTCCCCTAGAGAGAGACCAAGACCCTTGGACACTCCCGTAACCTGCCCTCACCCAGCTCTCCAGCCCCACGTCCCACCATCCTCTCTCCTTCACGCTTTTGCTCCAAATGATGCTGCTCCCTGAGTGCGCCAGGCCAGGCCAGGCCACGCATTTCCCTCCCCGTGTCTTGTCTTCCTGAGGTGCTGAGCTCAGGCATCCCTCCAGCAGGGTGCCCCTCGCAGGGTTAACCCTCCCTGCTTACCATCGCACTTATCTGGGCGTGTCCCGTCTCTTTACTACCTTGTCTGTCTCCTGCATGAGCCTGGGTGCTCCCAGAGCCACAACTGGGCGTCCCTGATGCTCTGTCCCCTTGACCCTTAGACGCCAGCCATGTTGTGTCTGGCCTTGAGGGCGGCTTGGGCTTCAGCAAGGTGAGGGGCTCGTGTGAAGAGCCAGGGTTGTGCAGGCGGGCGTGTTCAGAGGCAGGCGTGTGGAGCGGAGGCCCAGGCCAGGCCCCGCTGAGTGGCCACTGCTCGCTCAGGGCTTGGGACGGGGTCTCTCGGCCATCAGAAGCGTGGCAGTCCTTTAGGAAGGGCCTGGGAGGGTAGGAAAACCCCCGGGGCCTGGAATCAGCTCCTGGCTCTGCACCGCCCTGGCTGTGTGGCTGAGGCAAGCTGCCCAGGCTCTCTGTTCCTCAGCTGCCTCACCTGGAGTAGATTCTCTGGAAAAGTGTTTGCAGGGACTAATGGGCTTGTGTGTGTGACGGGCACTTTGTGGAGACTCAGAAACCACGCCCTCCTCTCTGTCTGGGGGCTCCCATGTGAGCGTGGTGCTCTCAGAAGTCTGGTCCCTGCCTGTAAGAATCGAGAGGCAGTCTCGCCAGAGGAGGAGTGCTTACCGCAGTCCCTCAGGAGGCTCCTGAAGGCAGAGGGGGAACATTGCCACAGGCCAAAAAACACGTTCTGCTTTGGACGGTTCGCGAGAAGGCATTTTCGCACATGAGGCTCGAAGACTGGGTCCCTAGCGTGCCGGCTGGACTCCGGTGCCCCTGGGCCCCAGAGGAGGCGTGGCCGCTGACGGCAGCACGTCCTCTCCCCCACACAGGTGCTCTCTCTGCCCCACCGGCGGCTGGTCTGCTACTGCCGGCTCTTCGAGGTTCCAGACCCAAATAAGCCCCAGAAACTCGGACTGCACCAGCGAGAAATCTTCCTGTTTAACGACCTCCTGGTGGTACGTAGTTCCCACAGGGTGTGGTGGCTGAGAACCACAGCACAGCGAGACCCGGCGGTGTGTCTGCACACAGTGGACAGTGGGGGGCCCTCCGGAGGGCGGAGGCAGAGAGCAAGGGTGGGGTTAGCCTCAGGTCTTTGGGTTACAAGGGGCAGAATCCAACTCAAACTGCTGCCCATGGAAACGGGCTTCCTTGGCTCCTGTAAAAGCCCAGAGCGGGTTGGAGCATCAGGCCCAGCTGCTGCCAGAGGCCCAGACAATGTCAGCAGGACTCATCTTCATGGTGTCTGTCTCGGCTGTGTGGGCTCCTCCTCTGTGGGATCCCTTCTCTGGCAGCTCCATCAGGAAGGACAGTCAGCCTCGGCAGCTCCAGGCTTCATCCCGTCCCCTTGGCCACCAGTGGGATTCTCTTCCCAACAATCTGAGCAGAGCTCTCACTGCTTTCCATGCAAGCGCCTGAGCCAGTCCCAGGGGTCAGGCAGGTACGGTGCTGCCTCGTTGGCTAAGCCTGGGTCACAGCCCACCCCCCGGACTAATGGATGGAAGGTGGCGGAGAGGGGGTTCCCCAAAAGGAAGTTGGGGAGCTCTTGAAAAAAGGTAGCATGGATGCCAGCCAGTGGGAATAAAGATGCCCCTGCGGAGAGCAGGGCAGAGCTGTCCTTTAGCTCTCTGTCCCTGCCGCGTGCCATGGCTTTCTTGCCAGAAGCCCCTGCACCTGATCTCTGAATGCTTGATTGCAAAGGACCAGCTGCTTCTCTCTGATTCCTGAGGTTGGAATTCAGACGTGTGGGTTCATCCTTTATTCAGAGTCCCTGCCTTTGGGCAAGTCACTTCACATCTCTGAGCCTCAGTTTCCTCCTCTGTAAAATTAATCTCTCAGAGGGTTACAGTGGTCAGATGGGGTCCTGGGCATAAGAACCTTGCACGCTGCCTTCAGAGCCCTGCATGGTGACGTGCCTGCCGCCTCTCTGTGGATGGAGGGGCTTTGTTGCCAGCCAGGATGGCACCAGGGTGTTGCAGGAGCAGAAATCAGTGTCTGTGTCACAGTGTGAATGGGCACGCGTTCCTCCCCATGTCCGCCCTCTCCTGCCCCAGGGGTCTCCTGACCTCTGAACTGCAAGGAGGGTTCTCACACAGGAGAACATGGTCGCTGTCGAGTCCACTTAGAATCCTGAGCTCGTGGAGCTGCTCCAGGGCAATCTAGGCCATGTGGCTCAGCCTCTGTCTCTGGTTCCTCCAGGTCACCAAGATCTTCCAGAAGAAGAAGAACTCGGTGACGTACAGCTTCCGGCAGTCCTTCTCCCTGTATGGCATGCAGGTCCTGCTCTTCGAGAACCAGTGTAAGTCTGTCCTTGGGGCCGGCCTAGCCTGGCAGGGTGTGTATTCCCTGGAGCGCTTGTCTAGGCGCGGCCTGCACTGCGTGTGGCAGGAGATGGCGTCACACAGCTCTAAGTGCCTGGTGAGGAGGCAGCCTCTTCCCGTTCTCTCCTTCCTCCTGGTCCCATCAAGGACAGAACCCCGGGGGGCTCCTCCGATGGTCTCTCAGTCCCACTTTACCACAGAGAGCAGAGCGCAGGCTTGGTGTCTGATAAGTGCAGTAACTGGGAAGAATTTAATAACTGCACAGAGTGCTCACTGAGGTAACTTTGACTTACTTGTAGGTGGTAAGTTTTTTAATTTCGGGCAGAGTGAGTTTATTTAAGTATATGTTGATAGGAAAACATCAGGTCAATAGCATAGGTGATATGCAAATATGGAGAAACAGGTGAAGCCTGAGGGGCTGCGGAGGTCAGGAGCTGCGCCCCGGAGGCCACGGGCCTGGGTTCAAATCCCGGCCCTCACGTTTAGCAGCTGTGTGGGCTGGCTGTTCAGTCTCTCTGGGCTGCGTTCCCTTATCTGTGAAATGAGGTGATTGCAGTGCCTACCTCATAGGATTAGGTGAGTCCACGCCGTGACGCGCAGGAAGAGCTGCTGACACAGAGGAAGTGCTTGGTCAGGGTTTGTGCTGAGGTGCCATTAGAAGGCCTCCTTGGGTGTGAGTGGGTCGTGGGGGCCTGGGGATTTCGGAGGGGAGCTGGCTCCTGCCCAGGATCCCCACTGACTTCTCTTTTGACCTTGCTCCTCTTGCTAGCCACGCCCTTCTCTTTTCCTCTCTCTCTCTGTCCCTTCCCTGTTGGAGGTCCCTGAGCTGCAGGCTGAGCCAGTCCTCCTGAGATGGGTGGGGGCCTGCTGCCCAGCCCATTCTAGAGTGGCCCAAGGGGAGGACTGCCCTGAGGGAGCGTCGCCAGGTCCCCAGCAGCAGGGAAGCCCTCATCCTCTAGGAGAGGTCACCTCGGTGCTGTCTGATAGGCCTTCCATCTGCAGGTTGAAAAAGTGCCAGGGACCCATGGCTGGGCCATCCAAAAGGCCATCCAGAGGGCCTAGATTTGGGACTCTTTACCCCTTCTCTGTCCTAAATGGGACCAGCACCTGCCGGGGCCCCTCCTTTCTCACATGCTCACAAGGAGCCCAGGATGCCGCCATCCATCTCCCCATCTCCTGCCCTGTCCACCCCACCCCGGGCCGGAAGGCATGCCTTTCCTTGGTTTCCACCGGACAGCACCAGAGAGGTCGGTGCCACCCCGTGTTGTCCCGACCAGCAGGCCCCTCTCACAAGGGTGGTGGTGGCAGTGATGCTCCGAACCATGGACCTGACCAGACTGACTCCCCAGACAGAGGCTGCACCTGGATCATTTTTAGATTCCCAGGGCTTGGCCCTTGGTCCTGGACACGGATGCTGGTCAAGAGCCGACCCTGACGCTCCTAGAAGACGTGCCTTCACACCAGGGGTCTCAGCTGGCAGCCTTGGGTCAATGCCAGCCCAGTTAGGTTATATTTGGTTTGCACATTTTTTTTAGATTTGTTGAGCTACTATTTAATCTTCACATTAAAGTTTAGATATTGTTGGCTTCTCTTGAAAAATAAGGTCTAGCATCCCTAGGACTGCATTCCCGCGTGGCAGCTGGTCATGGGTGGCATGCCCTCCCCCCCCGCCCCTAGCACTTCCCCGTTGCTCGCGGTGTCAGCTGGCCTGCTTCCCACACTCAGAAAGCCCTCTTGAGGCGCTAGGCATTGGAGTTCCCAGCCTTGACCGAGGTCTGGGCAAAGGTGGGATTGGTGTTTGGGCCAAGTACCTTCAAAAACCCAGCAGCTGATGCTCAATTCCCCCTGAGGAGAGAGGCGCTGCCAGGGGACCAAAGCCCCAGAGACCCCTCGAGCTCAGAGGTGGCACCAGGCAGGTCTGAGTAGGAAGATGCTGTGCTCAGCATCGAGTATGCTGGGTGTGGGGCACTCCCGGAGAGCTGGGGGTCTGGAGGCCAGTGGGAGAGAACAGAGCTCAGTCTGGTCTCGGAACCGTCTGAGGTGACTGGATAGGACTCTCCACCCAGCACAGGACACTACCTCTGTCTCCTGGACTCAGCACCTGGCCACTGTCTCAAGCCCCAGGCAGAGTGACTGAGGACTCAAATGGAAGTGGCCCAGGCTCCATGACCTTCAGGTGGGGGAAAAATGAGAGCCCTGGCTTCCCCTCAGATAGGCCAGATCCACCCCCAGCTTACAGATGGAGCAACACACACCCAAGTTGGGAGATGGAGAGTATCATGTGGTCCCCCTGGTGTGCACTGTGGAAGCCTCTCCTTGCTGGTCAGACATGTCTGCTGAGAGCCTGGGCTCTGAGCACTTCTCTCACGCCCATCCTGAATTGAGACTTATGACTGTTTTCTTGACCAGAAGGGAGGTTGCAGAGAACGCACCGAGACCATGGGTTCTTCTTCCTTTTTGCAGACTACCCCAATGGCATCCGGCTCACGTCCGCTGTCCCTGGAGCAGACATCAAAGTGTTAATAAACTTTAACGCTCCCAATCCTCAAGACAGGAAGAAATTCACGGATGACCTGCGGGAGTCCATCGCAGAGGTGCAGGAGATGGAGAAGCACAGGATAGAGTGTAAGTCGCAGACCTTCTGGAGTCCCAGCATCTCTCGGGACTTTCTGGACTCAGGTGTTGCCTCCCATCTGGTGGCAGTGATAGCAGTCAGAGACCGATGGAGCCAATGACTGTGGGCCCACAGAGATGAGATGCCCCTGGCCACGTGCCCAGGCTGCCCACATAGCCAGGCCACAGAAGGCGGCAGAGTCGGGGAGGAGAGAGCAGAGGCCTCCTGGTGAGAGCCAGGGCTGCAGAGGCCCAGGCCTGGCCTCTTTGTGGGGCCACATCGCTTGCCCTGAGGAGGGCCCCTGGTTCCCTGGTCACCCCATGGCACAAGAGCTTCCCGAGTTTGGGAGCTGAGCTCTTTGCACTTGAGCGTGGTTATTATTTATTCATCTTCCGCATCAGGGCCCAGCCAGCTACTGGGGTCACAGCTGAGGCCATCCCCTGGTTTCTGGTTATAACCCCTGCTTCTCCTGGCTCCGAGCCTCACTCCCTGGAAGCACATGGGTGTCCCCACCTCTGGCCCCCATCCATGGCAGGGGGTTAACCTTGTTCATCTCCAGACCCAGGCAAGTCTATCTCCTTGTCAACCCTCGAGCCTAAAGTGACTGTCTTTCTCACAAACCTCAAGGCACTCTGACCTCTCCACCCTCCCTTCTGGGGTCTCCTTGCGGCTCCCTCTTGTTGAAAGTAGCCGTCACACCTTCTCTGTCCCAAAACAACCCTCGCTTCTTACTTTTTCCTCATTCCAGGCAGATGGTGATGGATACAGTGCCAGCCCCAAACAGAGGGCTGTGGTCCACTGCGTTTCCCTCTTGGCCAGGGTCCTGGCCCTGCGCCCACCCCAGGTTGCCCTCTCCAGGCCATGCTCCTCTCACTGGGCCCCTCACCCCCTCTGTTTCAGCGGAGCTCGAGAAGCAGAAGGGCGTCGTGCGGCCCAGCATGTCCCAGTGCTCCAGCCTCAAAAAGGAGTCAGGCAACGGGACGCTGAGCCGGGCCTGCCTGGACGACAGCTACGCCAGTGGCGAGGGCCTCAAGCGCAGCGCCCTCAGCAGCTCCCTGCGGGACCTCTCAGAAGCGGGTAAGAGCTGGACCTAGGGCCAGCTTCCTAGCCCAGTGCATGCAGGACTCAGACTGGGCATCAGCGGTGGGGCACGCACTGTGCCGGGAAGGGACTGTGGTGGCAGCCAGCAGTGGTGGGGTTTGAGCCGAGCGCCGTTTGGGTTCCCTGTGACCATCCCAAACCACAGTAGCATCTGACCGTACAGAGAGGGCATCCCCAAAAGGGAAAAGAAAACAGGACCGAATTGTCAAAGGCAGAACAGCTGGGAGGTTAACCCCACGTCTCCCTTTCTTCTTTTCGGAGTTTTATTTATTCTTTTATTTATTTTCTGAAACTGCTCACCCAGAGCGAGCCAGGCCCCGCTGACGGATGCGTCCCGTGTACTCTGTGCTGCCATGTCCCTGTGTTTTATGCTGATGAATGAAATGGAGTGAAGCCCTCTAAACGGTGTCTGGAGACCTCCTCTCCTGCTGCCCTTGGGCTTGCTTTCCCCGCAGAGGTCTTCCTTCCTGGGAAACCCAGGCCTCCATCCAGCCCCGAGGCGACGGCCACGGCTGGCCTTGGGATGTCAGGGGAAAGCCCTAGCGGAAACTGTGATTCTTGTTGCTGTTGTTTCTTTGTTTCTGTGTGTGTTTATTTGCTGCCAGCCTCTTAACCCCCGAGCCAGCAGCACTCCTCCGGCCTCCCACATTTCCCGGGGCAGGGCGCACCTGGAGCGTCCGGGAGCAGGGAGCTTCTGCTGGCAGCCCTCACCTGGCCTGGTCCTTTCGGCTGGGGCAGGTGAATGAGGGAGGCATGGGAGCAGACCCAGCTGGAGCCTGTGAGCGCTGCTCCAGCCTGCTTTGTCTGCTGGTGCTGTCAGAGCTATGGAGTGAGGGGGTGCACCCTGGCAGCCCCTAAGCCCCCCACTGGTTGTGTCTAGCCAGTCAGCTTCTCCCAGGAGGAGGCTCTGGGGCTGCGGTGGAGCAGAGGTTGCAAGACATTGTTGCACAGTGGGCACGGGGCTGTGCCAGCACTGTAGGGTCCTGGGACCCCAGGCTCTACCTGCCCCGAGTCCCCGGGTGCCCCTGCCCCAGGAGCCTGATGTAGCCCCTGGTTGTTGGGAAGACCCTCTCAGGCCTAGATCAGCCCCCTCCCCTCCTAAAGGCTCGCCCGCCCTACCCTGCCTCAGGCGTCACCATGTGGCCAGCTCTGGGCCCCCCAAAGAGAGCCTGCTCATGACTCCATCCCATACCTGCCTCACCAGCAGCACTGTCTGCCTCCCTTCAGCTTATTCATTTCTCAGAAATTTGTTTTTCTTTTCTTTTTTCTTTTTGAGTTGGATTTTTTCCTTTGCTTTTGTCTTGTCTTTTTTTTTTCATAGTAAAAATCAGCAATCCATTGCCAGCATGAGGGTTAACCCAGGGTTTCTCAATCCCAGCACTGTTTTGTGCTGGATAATTCCTTGCTATGGGGGCTGTCCTGTGCAGGATGTTTAGCGGCATCCCTGGCCTCTACCCACTAGATGCCAGTAATATCCCCCCAGTCATGACAATCAATAATGTCTCCAGAAATTGCCAGATGTCCTCTGGTTGGCAAAATCGCCTCTGGTTGGGAACCACTGATTTTCTCCATGGCTTGTTAAACCCAGCTAAGCATAAGTGGACTGCTCTGGGCCTCTGCAGGCTGAGGCTGAGCCTGTGTTTGAGTTTGTGCAGTGGGGCAGGCTCTGGCCTCTCTGTTCCCCGATGAAGCCTCTGGAGGAGGCTGGGGGGCCCTTCCCTGTCCAGCCCCCTCAGGTTGCAGTGGCTCTGTTGGAACTGAGGCTCTCAGCATGGCCAGCCACAGCCACTCTGTGTCTGGTGGTCAGGATCTCAGCTGTCCACTCTCTACCAGAGCTTAGGGGTCAGACAGAGCCTCATGCCCAGGCCCAGAGCCACGTGAGGGATGAAGCTCTAAGGTGTGGCTGATTTCCATTTATTGTTACTATTACCATTGTCATTTGGGGATTCTGAGTTGAGAAGGACACTGCAGATTGAGTCTTCTCAGGGCCTGAAGCCACGATGAAAGAATCCCAAGGAAAGAAAGCCCCCTGCACCCAGAAAGGTTGAAGGGCAAGGTGAGTCCTAACAGCTGCCAAGGCCCCAGACTGGGGACAAGCCATCTGTGACCTCCAGAGACAGACAGGCCAATGTCAGCAGCCTTCCTGGAAGATGCTGGGCTTGGCAGCTTCAGACGTGGAACTGTGTGCTCTCCAGAGGCAGCATCACTCCCACCCACCGCGGGCCTCGCCAAGATGAGCTTGTCAAGAAGAGGCAAGGCCTTAGGGGCAGCCTCTCCACTCAGGAGAGCAAACCTTCAGTGGTTGGCACGTCATCACTCTCAGAGCAGCTGCCCCAGACCTGTGATCACACGTTCATCCAGGAGACAACACACAGGGACGTGGCCTCAGCCCGGCGTGAACCTTGGGGATGGGAGAAGCAGTCGCAGTTTGATGGTCAAGGAGGAAGCCCAGCAGCAGGTGCCTCCAGGAGCCCCTGACATTCCAGAGGTGGAGGGCGGGGCCTGGCCTCCAGCTCCAGCTCCCCACTGACCTTCGAGTCCTCACCCGATGTCTCCACATGGCCTTCCTTTGGCCAGGGCCCTGTGTTCATTTCAGTGGCACCAGAGCCCTGCTGGCCCGAAATCAAGGACCTGCAGGAACCGTGGACATAGGTGTGACTGGGCCTTAGCCTCTGCCCCACGTCAGCCAAGTCCTGGTGGATACTGTCCCTGGGTCCCTGAGGTCCACACCAGTCCCCACGGAGAGGACGTCTCCCAGGGGCTGCAGGACCTGCCTGCACCCGTCATCACCCCAGGGCGGCCAGTTTCCAAAGCAGCACCTGCTGCCCAGGACGGGCACTCCGCACGTGACATGTGCACACTGAAGCCGCACTCGGGATGGCCACCCCAGCACAGCCCAGCAGAGGGCGCACAGCACGCTGATCCTGGAGTCACACCACTGAGATCATCTCCCTCCTCAGCCTGCTGCTCGTTAGCTGTCAGGCCCTGGACAAGTTACATCTCTGGGCCTCAGTTTCCCCATCTGCAAGGTGGGGACTAGTTCTTCCCTCCAAGGCTCTCTATGAAAGTTGATACTTGCAAAGCATTTAGAGCAGGGCCTGGCACGGTGTGCATGGCTGTTGTCACTGAGTGAGGGCACCTCAGCCCCCAGCATTGCTAAGGGCTGCAGGGTGAGACCTCTAGGAGAGAGCCCTGCCTGCGTCCTGTCCTGATGCTGAGAAGCAGGGGAAGGCTGTGAAGAGCCGTGTTCGGAGCCCCTTCCACACATGGTCCTGTTCCTAGCCATGGTGGGCTGGCAGGGCCTGATCTGGCTCTAGAAGAGGCGCTGGCTGGGGTGGGGCTCACCTGAGGCTAGTGTAGGATTCAGAGAGAGAGCGGGGAGGTACCTGGACAGCGAGTGCCGGTGAGGGGAGCGTGGCTGTGTGGGTGTGAGCCCCTGTTCCGGCATGCTTTGCCTCCATTAGTAGATGGTGTGTGCTCAAGTGCACATGTACACACCCGGACGTGAGTTTGTGGTGGGCAGGTGTCTGTGGGTGTGCCTGTGAGTGGGGCCTCTCAGACTGGAGTGCAGAGAGCTCCCGTAGGGACCCCCACATCTCATGCTGATCTGAGAAGTTGAAAAGATGAATTCTAAGAAACTCAACATCACTCAAAGACATCCAAGTTAAAGCTCTCCTAAAAAAAAAAAAAATTTCTCAAGTCTTGGCCCATGTTGAGGGAGAGGGAGAGGAGGAGGATCTTGTTCACCTTCAGGTCAGCACCATATGAAGCCCCCAAACCTAGCTCCAAGCCTGGCCCAAGTCCTGTCAGCAGAAGCAGGCGGCTGGAAGGTGCTGCTGGGCACTGGCAGAGCAGCCTGTCTTGCCTCCATGCCTGGTTTTTAGTCAGTCAGAGGAGCCCCCAGGCCTTAGAGGGGCCAGAGAGGTGATTTAAAAACTCCAAAGACAGCAGAGACCGGAACTTAGCATTTCCACGTGGTGAGCAACGTCCTAAGTGTTAGGTGCTTGTGGCCACCCCAGGAGGGGAGGCACGCCCATTTCACAGATGCTGAAATGGCAGTCAAGAATCGGAGTGCCACTTGGGGTCACCTCCCCAGCCAAAGAGCCTCCTTCAGGGAGGCTGGACTCTAATTCTGCTCCATGTGCCTGGCCACTGTGTCGGGGCAGAAGGCAGGAAGGGAAGACGGTCAGCCCCTCTTCTCACGCTAGCTGAAAGATGAAGAAAAATGTGACCCTCGTCTTTCTTCCGGCTGGGAATAAGCCAGGCCCCGCTTGGCTCTCCCTGGGCCTCAGCAGCTGGTGGAAAATGCTCTTATCCTCAACCACTGTGTGGCCCTGTCCTGAGGGGACTCTGAGGCCCTCTCCCACGTGCCAGAGTCCAGCAAGGCCTTCTGTGGACCCCAGGCTCCCAGCTGGAACTCAGTTTGGGGTCAGCAGGCAAGACAAAGGGACCAGACCTCCCCCAAGCCTGCTGTTGTATATCCAGGACTGAGGCCCTATCCCAGGCACGGCCCAGCACACTCAGGTGCCACCATGAGGCTCGAAGGACCCACAGACACACCCTCTCCACTCAGTGTGGGGCTGGGTTGTGGGCCACAGAGAGGCACATGGCAGTCTCTTCCATCTTCCAGGCTCCTAGGCCTGGCCTGGGTCCAGCTAAGAAGGCAGCATGGCCGAGATTTCCAGCTTCAGAGGTGGACAGACAGCCCTGGGTGTGAACTCTGCTAACTGTGGGAATTGAGCCGGTGAGCCCATCAGCCAGAATCTCCTCCTTGGCATGGACAGAGGGATACCTGTCCTGTGTTGTTGTAGGGCTTGACCAAGCACCTGCATTGTGCTCAGCTCATGGCCAGGGCTGCACAGATGGAAGTGTAGAGAACACCAAGAGGGAAGCCCTTTTTCCAGCCGCTCATCCTGTCCACATTCTCAGAGAGCTGGCTGGAGACCAGACCCCTAAGCTTGGGCACCATCGTTTCCACTGGCCTTGATGTCCTGCAGAAATCAAACATGGAGAATTCTCCAGAGGGACTGTGGAAGCCTGGATGGGCCCTGGGCACCCAGAACCAAGAGGAAGATTCAGCCTTCTTCTGACATAGCCAACATATTGAGTGCGTGCTGTGTGCACTAGGGATGTAAAAAGGCCTCGGAAGTGAGAGCTCATGGCTGAGGGAACACTTGTGGCATCCTGGGGGGTGGTGCCCATAGAGGGGAGGCAGGACTTAGGGCCCTGGCTGGAGGAAGGCCTCCCAGCAGCCCCCGACCCTGTCTCCTGCCCCGGCCAGGGCACTGCACAAACCAAACACTGGCCCCAGAGGCACCAGCACATTTGATCCACCCGGGAGAACAGGGTGCAAAATTCAGTTTCCTCCTGACCATCAATCCCACCCTGCCAGGAGCCGGAGGTGTATATGTGCGTACGTACGTATGTCTGCATATATACATACGTATATGAAATCCACTGAAAGTCAGGGCCCTGCACGACCACCTTTTGTTTGTTTTCAGCTGTTGGAGAAGCTGCCCTCCCCTGTCAGCAGATGGCTGATGCCAACTTGATCTCGGGGCATCAGGCCCCACCTGTGCACCAACTCGGCCCACCCTTCGCCACAAACTGCCCATCCAGGAGCAGGGGTATAAAGTTGGGGCTGGTTGAAAAAGAATCTTCTTTTTTTTTTTTTTTTGCTTTTTTAAAAACCCCATTTTTTTTTAACTCATTACTGCCCTGCCACCGGCTTCCCCACTGAGTTCCTCTGACCCTCACGCCCGAGCCTGCGGCAGGTGGGCCCCGTATCTGAGGGGCAGGCAGCGCCCCAGCCTCGTGTCTGTGTCTAACCTCTGGTATTGCATGTTCTGGGCAGGGAAGCGAGGGCGTCGCAGCAGTGCAGGATCGCTAGAGAGCAATGTGGAAGTAAGTAGGAAGCGCCTACGTCCGGCTGGCTGTCGTGTTACCTCCCCAATCCTTGGTTCATATCTGTCGTCTTCTTGTTTTTTGCTCTTCCTTCCCCTACTGCACAGAGGCGCAGAGACGCCCACCCCTGCCTGCCTCAGCCCAGTGCATGCCAGCCTCCCCTCCGCCTAGAACCGCCACGCCTCTCACCGCTTGTTTGGGCTGGAACGGTGGGGGGTGGTTCTGGATTTTGTGTTTTAGTTCCCGCTTAACCCCTGTCCCCTGTGGTCCCCGAGCATGGTTAACATACCTGGCTTCCCGGCACTCCCCCTGGGGTCCCTGGGCATTGCTCCTGGGGGGGAGGCAGCGGCCACCAGGCACCCACGCACCTTCCAACCTTGCTGTCGGAGGTGTTGCTGATCTCTTGACTTCCACGCTCCACCATCCCCATCGCTTCCTTCCCGGAGTCTCGATTGTCGTGTGTCTGCGGTCAGGGTACCATGGAATTGCTTAGCTAGCTCAGGGGAGGAGGAGAGCTGTGAGAGAAAGGAAAATCAGTGTGGATTTCATGAGATTTCATTCATCTTCAACCATCTCTATATTACTGTTCACATCTTAACCTCAGCTTGCAGAACTTTTTGTTTCCTTCTTTTTCCTTGTTTGGTTTGCTGTAGGTAGCTGCAGTGAAACGCCTAGGCAGGCCCACCCCCCAGGACGAGGTTTCCCAAGCCCTCCTGTGCCTCTCACCACCTTCCCAGAAACCCCAGGACCCACACAGGGAGAGCAATTACCCTTGGACCCATTGAGAGAACCCAGGAGAGCTTAGGGTGCAATTTCTGCAAGAATGGGGTTCTCATCATGCACACCAGCCTGCCCCACTCCACTTAGTACATGCCGCTCAGACACCCCCAAACAAATGGTTCTGATCTGAAAACTCACCCTTCCGTGACAGGGTGCTTGTCAGGATGGAGCAGAAGTCAAACTGTGCTGCTGCTGCTGCTGTTGACCAGAATGGAGGGTTCCCTCCCCCCACCCTGCCCCCTCTTCTCCCTGGAAGGCCAGTTCGCTGTCCCTCCAGCCCCCAGCTGTCTTGCCACAGTAGCATGAAAGGAGGCGGCGCCTGAGTGCAGCCTCTCCCAGCCCCGCCCTCTGCAGCCAGCGAGTTAAACTAAGGCTTAGCAGTCAGTGGGTGAACTTTTTTCATTTTTTTTTTTTAAATCATTCTGACATAAGTGCTTTAAGATCTTTTAATTTTGATTTCTATGAATTTCCTTTTTAGGGGTCCATCATTAGCAGTCCTCACATGCGCCGGAGAGCTACATCAACACGAGAGTGTCCATCTCGCCCACACCAGACTATGCCTAATTCATCCTCCCTCCTGGGCTCCTTATTTGGGAGTAAGAGAGGGAAGCCCCCTCCCCAGGCCCACCTGCCGTCAGCCCCTCCCCCACTGCCCCCCCACCCACTGGGCCTGCCCCACCCGCAGCACTCCGCCGCTGGCCATCACCAGGGGCCCACAGAGGGCCCGCCACAGGCCCAGGTGCATGGGCACCATACCCAGTACTGCCACATGCAGCAGAACCCACCCCCCTACCACCATCACCACCACTACCACCCGCCCCCGCACATCCAGCATGCACACCAGTACCACCACGGCCCCCATGGGGGGCACCCACCCTATGGGCCCCATGTGCATGGCCACCCACCACTGCCCTCAGCCTACACAGGCCACCCAGGCCACGTGGGCCACGCAGCGCACCACCACGGGCAGCCCCCTGCGCCGCCACCCCCCACCAGCAGCAAGGCCAAACCCAGCGGCATCAGCACAATTGTGTAGACAGCCTGGGCGGGGGTCCCAGACTCCCTGGCACAACCGCACATCACACAGAGGCACACCTGGGGTGGCCACCCTCAGACCAGACCCAGGGCACTTTTGTTTCCATTTCTCCCGTCTGCTCCCCATGGCCCAGATGGAGCCCCCTGAGCCCACAGGGCTTGTATTGTAGGGAACAAAACTCGTGATTTAATTTAGAGTTGGTGCCCAGGCTCCATCCACCTCAACCTGAGGGGTGGGCCTCGGCCACCGTCAGCCTTGAAACGGTGCCGCCGGGCAAGTAGATGTTGAACTGCCCCCCCGGCCACTACAGCCCTCAGCTCTCTACTCCCTAATTGTACATGCATCTGAAAACCCAGCCTAGGAAAAGAAGAACAAGACACAAAAACCAGAGACAGAACAAAAAAACCCCAAAACTTGCTGCACTATTGCTCTTTTGTTGACAATGGGCAAAAAATTAAGTAGACCTGATATGGTTGATGAAAATACGTAAGTAAACTTTATATAATATAAATATATAAATATATAAATATATATATATACTGTATAGGTAGTACTTGTGTGTGAAAGGCGTTTCAGTCCACAGAATTAGCAATATAGACTTTATAAGGAGCTCTCCTTACCTGATAGGAAGACAGTACCTGAGATGAATGTGTGAGAGAGTAGACCAAAAACTTAAATGCTAGGAACAAATTCAGATACTTCCATATTTTCATAAAAAGAAGAGAAGTCCCTCTAGGACTGGCTAAAATCTTTACGCAATCATCACTAACTGTGCCAAGTAACATAGCATCTAACTGTTTAAAAAGTCCAATATTGCTTTGTATAAATCCTTATTTTATTAACAGAATACTATCATAAGTAATCAGTATTATAGCTGCTCTGTTATTTCAGGTAAGCAAATAGATAAAATGCAGTAAACCACAGTAGCAACTCGGGACAACTAGTTAAGAACCAGTTGTCCCAGAATATTGGTTACACAGATTCTTAGACACTTTAATGGCTGCGATAACTGTGAATTCCCATGATCCATATTTCTTTTGTATGCATATGATTTAATGCACACTCATTCAGAGTCCTCTGAGGGGGCACCCATACACGGCAGAAGTACTCATGTCCAACATGAAAACGACCAGCTCTCATCCTCGTCTCCCCAACACCATAACTTACTCATCCTGTTTCCAAGTGCAACAGGCAGAAACCCCCAAGCGTGTTTCCACCAGGAACCACTCTCGAATCTGAAGGCGATTTTGGCAGTTAGCAACCAGGGTGGTGTGTGTGTTTCCCGTTTTGTTTTCTGAGTAGTAGCCGTGACCATCGTAATTCCATGTAGCCATGTGCTAGCACAACCCCCGTGTCATCACCGTGGCGCATCTGACCCCAGCCGATGAGCACCGGCCCTCGCCAGTGAAGCCCCTGCTGCCTTCTCATGGTCCAGGGAGCTGCCAGGGCATCACATGACTCAGCTGTGCTCTTGTGGCTTCCGTGTTGTGGTGACACTATCCACTCCCCCAGGGGCCTGGCACTGCACGCATCCGGTTTTGTGCCTGAGTCACCCATGGGCCATACTTTGTAGTTTCAGCCTTTCGAGCCACTGCAGCCCCCAATGCTGTGCTCCTAAGCCATGGGACCCGAGGACCGCCTCACGGCACCTGCCCAGGCAGAGAGCCCTCTCAGAAAGGGCGAAGCTAGCACAGGACTCTGAAGGCCGCGAGCTCCGTGCTCCGGGGACGGCGTGTCGAGGTGTGGCCGGACAGCAGGATGACAGAGGGGAACCCACCCTGGCCGAACAGTCCAGGGTTCTGCCCATTTCCCTCCTCACTCACCCCTTTGTCGTATCATTGAGGTCACCATACCAGCAAATCTGCAAACCAAGCACTTTGTTAATCTCCACAGAGAGCAAATACAGCAATTTAGAGTTTAGCCTTTTGTAAAAAGGAGTGTGACTTTAACCTGCCCGCTTCATCTCCCATCATTGTAGTATTTATTTCTCTCTTGGGCATCTGCTCAGAAAGAGAAGTAAAAAGCACGGATGTGTCTGATCTTTCCAGGCCGGGCTGGTGGGAGGCTCCCCGGTTCCACTGACTCCTAAATTCTTTGGTTTTCCTTCAGAGTCAGGCTCCCCGAGGCATTCTCTGTCTTGCAGCGTGAAGGATGTTGTTCTGACAAGGAACAGTCGAATTGTGCTGCATGTCACCCAGCATCAATGTGAGGCCACACTCTGTGTATTGTATATTTGCAAAATACTTCAGTGTTACTGTTGACAAATAGTTGAAGTAAAATGGTAACATACTAAATATGTCAGCTTTTCTTCACCCTCTGTACCCATGGTAGAGTCTAACTGTAAACTCTAGGTTGTTCCAGAAAAGATGCAGGCTGCTTGGTACAAGATTACCCTTTCTGAAGGAGCAGTCACTAACAAAAAACAGAAAGAACCCACAATAAATCTGTGGGCGGGGGCCCACTCTTCATTGCCATCCTGCGTGCTCCACACGCCATTCAGAACTCTTACCTCCAAAACTGTCACCGGTGTGTCCTGATGCTTTGTCAGGTTGCCACAGGGCCAGATGTAGTGAAAGAGAGCTTCTTGAACGAATTCAGTTCTCCTCACGTTCCAACTTTATACCATGTGTCGGGTTCAGGTCAATGAGTTTTCCTCATTGTGTGTATTGTGTTTACAAACCTGTCATGGGAAGTGTTTCCAGTACGCTGTCCTGTTGAGGAGACTGGAGCCACGCTGCACAAATCTTGTTTGGGAAGCAGAAGCTTCTGATAGATGGTGCCCCCCATGTTGTTTCCATGGGATTGTTCTCCAGATCCCAGCCTGTCACTGAGTCACAGCTGTGGGGACCTATGGCTCACCCGCTGGGCTGGGAGCAGGATGTGTGTGTCATCCTTTCTTACTGTCAGGACACACTTGGGACATTTTTCTCAAGTTGCACAGATTATTTCAATTATACAGTAATTTCTGACAGGAGCAGGAGACCGTAGAGGAAGCAGCTGGTAGCATCACAAAAATCTTTTCTGGGACAAATCATGTATTTGTATTTTATTTTTCAGTTTATGAATGAATTGTACAACAATGTAAAAATAAAGTTCATCCTAATATGTGCACATCTTGCTTAAAAATGTCTTCCGTCATCCAGTGTAGAGCGACTTTTCCATCACACGCTGCATGCAGCAGAAGCCTCTTGTTTTTCTTTAAAATGAGCTGAAAAGGCAGTCAGCAGATCTTTAAACACGACCCTAGGTGTTGACTCAGCGTTCCATATGAAGCTGTGTTTCTACAGGTAAGCATGCATTTTACAATTTTGTAAAATATCATCACCCTTCCTGCCTGAAAAATGAGTCATTTTGTAAGTATTTTAAATAACAACAACAATAACCAAGGAAACAGATGGCAAAATGAGTCCACGTGAAGTGGAGTGGTGTGAGGGGCAAGCAGGAGGAGCTGTAAGTTGTGCCGCGTGCCGCACGTGCATGTTAGTGTGACGGTTCTGTCTGTGGTCGTGCTGCGGGTGCGCAAAGTACCCGTCTCCTCTTGGGATCTGTCATTCACCTTCGAGCTGTTTTAAAAGATTAGAATCAGGTCTTGAATGCAGACTCTTCAAAGACCTCAAGGGACACCTCACTCACAAGGAGCCCAGCACCCAGTGTGTAACTTTGGGGAGGAAAGGAGTGTTTTTGTTTTAATATGCATTCTGTTTGTGAGTAGTAACAGACTCTATTGATGTAAAACCATAGCTGTGATCATGTGGAGAAATCAAATAAATCCTTTAAAACTCTTGGGTTCTTACTTTTTCTGAAAAGTCCAGCAGTTTCCCTATTGGTCAGACACAGAGATCAGCTGACAAGTTTGCCCATTCCTTGTCATGACTGCTGTGGGCACTGGCTTTCCTGGAGGACATTGGACTAACTGCAAGTTGAGGATGTTGATGTAAGACATAAAGGTACATATCACAACCTAGGCACTGATAGAAGATTTCAAAGGTATTTATACTTTCTTGCAACTTTGAACAAATTTTAGTGCTTTCATCGAGTTAGAGAGAGGAGATGGCTCCTGTGAAGTGTTGAGGTGGACTGGGAGTGACTGGGGGAGAAGAATCCCCCATGCGGGTTCCAGATGCCTGAAGAGGTTATGAAGTCAAGCTGCCCATGTGTCCACATGATGTTTGATGTGTTGTGCAAAAGCAAGGAAGGTGAATTCTGATTCTCTTGGAAGGAAGACTTCTGAGAACATGATTGGCTTGTACTATTTCCCCTTTCCTGGACCCAAATTCAGTTCCAGAGAATACTACCTTCGAGTTTCAGTACATATCATGACATGAGCTAAAACTGGTAGATCTAATTTGTGGAAAGAAAGATTAATTTTAATAACCAAAATTAGCTGTGGCCCATCCTTCATAGGGAAGTGAATAATGCTCGAAAGATGTTCTTAGCTTCTGCAGCTGGGTGGCATTCCTTTTCCAGGCCATTCGGGGGCTCTCCAGGAGAGAGAAGCTGGTTATTAACATGCCCTGAAATGCTTGGCTCTGCTTCAGCCTCTGTGTGACGCACAGGGCCACCCTCTACCCGCTGTTTGTTGGAGATGAGCTGCTCAGCCAGTGCTTCGATGCCATGCTTCTCTGGATTTGTCTCCCCACACCAAACTGTGAGCTCCTTGGGGGCAAGGGGTGCATCTGACCCACTTCTCTGTGTCCAGTGACCAGCACAGGACTGGTCTTGTCAAAATGCATCTGAAATGAATTGATGGTTGGGGGGGTGGTGAGCGTACAGCAAAACCACTGGCTGATCTTAGAGTCTGTAAATCATCATCGAAAATGTATGGAGGGGCCAGCCTGGTGGTGCGGCGGTTAAGTGCTCATGCTCTGCTTTGGCAGCCCGGGGTTTGCAGGTTCGGATCCCAGGTGTGCACCAATGCACTGCTTGTCAAACCATGCTGTGGCAGCATCCCATGTGAAGTAGAGGAAGATAGGCACAGATGTTAGCCCAGGGCCAGTCTTCCTCAGCAAAGAGAGGAGGACTGGCATCGGATGTTAGCTCAGGGCTAGTCTTCCTCACAAAAAAAAAAATTAAAAAAGAAAAGAAAATGTAGGGAAACTTGTTTGCTCAGCCCTCTGCTACCCTTGACATTGACAAGTCTGGCTGGGGACATGCATGACACAGCCAGACCTCTATAAGAGCATTTCATGCTTACTGACTGTGTCCTTCCCCCACTCACTGCGTGATTCTAGCCCTCATTTCACTTGACCTCTCAGCAGTTTTTGATACTGTTCACACATCCCTTCTTGAAACACTCTTTCCTTTGCATCTCTGATCCCACACTCTCTTCTCCTTCTCTCTAGGGACTCCCTCACTGTCTCTTTTGCAGGCTAATACTCCTCCGTGGCGCCATTACGTGTTGGTGTCAGGATCGTGTCTGAGCCCTCTCCCTTTCTCCTCTCTGTAGGCAGTTGCACTTTCCCACAGTTTCAGTCTCCCTTCTCTACACGTATTGCTTCCAAACTTGAATCTCCAGCCCAGACCTCTACTCTGAGCATCCATGTTCCCTCGGGTCTTTCAGTTGTGCTTTGGACTCTCATCTCCATGACCAAATTCACGATCATACACAGACACACATGAAACCAGGGCCTCTGCTATGTTGCTTATTTTGTCAAATGGCATCACCATTGAGTTTTATACATCAGAACTTAGGAATCGTTCCTGCCAATAGGAATAATTGGGCAGTGGTTGCAGGCTTTACTCACAGTGTTTTAACAAATGCATTTTAACATTTAGAGCATTTGGAAAGAATAGATTCATAAAAAGCAGGAAAAAAAATCACCCACAATCCCACCACCCAAGAGCAATTATAATTGTTAGGTCTATTTCCTATCCATCTTCTCTTCACACCTATTTCTCAGTTACCCAGTTCAGATTTTGTGTGTCCCCCAAACAGTTTGTAAGTGTTATTTGGTGCCTCTCATGAAAAAAGAGTTTTCACGATCAAAAACATCTAGGAAACACTGGATTAGAAAAAGTTAAATGGGTTTCTTTACTGCAGGACTTCTTAGAGCCTTTTAAAAGGATGATGTGCATGGTGAATCTCTGAAAGATAATCTGTATCGTGCTTCCTAAACTTATTTAGCTATGGAACTCTTTTGCGTTCTACAGCATACAGTTTAGTGAAAGTTTGTATGTGTAAATTTTATTCATTTTTTTCTTAATATATTCTGATGTTATGAAAGACTGAACAGTTTATAATGTCTGCATAATGGCCCATGATGTATTTGCCATGCATATATTTTGGTGAACAAGGAACAGACAGAAGGAAATAATAGACTTTCTGAGCAGATTTGGTGGTTCTGCTAAGGATGTGGGACCTGGAGAAGTTGGACCACTGGATCTAACTTTAGTGCTGAGTTCCTGGGATGAACAGGGACACTGTTTGGGTAGTTCTGGGTAGCCGTGTGTCACCTGAGATGCATCTTGATTCACTGTATTCAGTTCAGTACACACTTTCCAAGGGAACCCATCTCACTTTTCAGCACAGAGTGGGCCTGTAATAAAGATTTATTGGCTGGCTGATGGCAGCTATGTTGGGAAGGCTATTTACTCTCATCTCTAATGTGTAGCTTCATGACTTTTAAGGCCCTTTTAGGGAAGTCTTTTCCTTCCTTTCTGTTATTCCTAACCACACTCTGCCACCTCCACAATGTGATCAGTGTCCTATATGGAAAAAGTTCCATTTAAATCTGAAAGTAAACTAAATGAAACTAAAGGAAACTAAAATGCTTTAGTTGTCATCCTCCATGGAGTTAATAGAGAAGAAAGCATTCTAAAATGAAAATGCCAGAGGAGAATAGAGGCCACCTAAATTGGAATCTCTTCCCACATCCTTCAGGAACTGTTCAGAAAAAGAACAAATAAAATCACCTATAGCTCACCCCTACAGTGTAACCAGGAAAGAGTGAAACCCACACATTTTAATGAAAGGTCAGTGGGAAAATAAGCATCTTAGACCAGCAGAGTTGATGCTGAATCCCATCCCAGAATATAGTTCCTGGTGAGGACTGCACGGAAAAGAGGAACAGCATGGTCCTTTGATGGTGGTAGAGACAGATAACATCCACTAGGGTTCACGCCCATAAGGAGAGAGAATGACTCTGCGTGGAGAAATGCGGAAAGGAGAATTGAGATCTGGTGGAATCAAAAGGAAAAGACTTGGAAAGTTATGGGACCAGAGGTGACAGAAGGCACTGCTTCTGGAGAAGAGGGAAGCACCTACGAAAAGAGAGATTTCCCTTGGAGACTTGGTGATGAACGTGCTTGGAAGTGCTGTGGGCCCTATTCAAACAAGATGCTATCAGAGAATCAGAAGACAGGCCTCAACAAAAAAGTGCCTTTTATTAAAAGAATTGCAGGGGCCAGCCCCGTGGCTTAGCAGTTAAGCACACACGCTCCGCTACTGGTGGCCTGGGTTCGGATCCCAGGTGCGCACCAATGCACCGCTCCTCCGGACATGCTGAGGCCGCATCCCACATACAGCAACTAGAAGGATGTGCAACTATGACATACAACTATCTACTGGGGCTTTGGGGGAAAAAAAAGGAGGAGGACGATTGGCAATAGTTGTTATCTCAGAGCCGGTCTTCCTCAGCAAAAAGAGGAGGATTAGCATGGACGTTAGCTCAGGCTGATCTTCCAAAAAAAAAAAAAAAAAAAAAAGCAGTTCACTGTAGCAGCAAAATAGGGTATTATTGGACTAAAAAATCAAGTAAACCATCCAAGCCCCTGGCCCTTCCCTATAGCATCAACTGCTATTGGTGGTTCCAGAAAACTCAATACAAATAAACATGTAAAGTATTCATACAAAAGTACTTTAAGGAGAAAAATGAGAAAACTTTTTAGTTTACAGGGACCAGCCCTATGGCCTAGTGGTTAAGTTTGGCATGCTCCACTTTGGTGGCCCGGGTTTGGATCCTGGGTGTGGACCTATACCATTCATCAGTGGCCATGCTGTGTGGCGACCCACATACAAAACAGAAGAAGATTGGTACAGATGTTAGCTCAGGGTGAATCTTCCTCAGGAAAAAAAAAAAAAGAAGAAAGAAATATATATATCTCTATCTATATATATAGATAGAGATATATACACACACACACACGAACAGAATAAAAAGGGAAAAGCACAGGGAAATTGTAACAACACCCCCCTCATTAATTAAATATAATTACACAAGCAATAACGTGAAAGAACACCACAAATGATAAACCCA